AAAAAAATCTTTAAATTATAGTTTCTCTTTTCTGGTCCAATTTAAATTGTTACATAGTTGCTAAATTAGTGCTGTAATCCCTGCTTACAAATTGCTGAATTATTTTTAAAAATAGATGTAGTTTTACTGCAGGGAACAACCTTACACTTTAAAACCCTATGTGCTGCAGGAAGCTGCTCTTGCACAGCTTTCAACCAACCACACTCACGTGCACACAGGGTGAGGTTTACAACACCAGTCACACTGAAGCTAATAGCAGTCTCACCAGAGATTTCAATGAGCACAAATTGAGTTAACACTGACATTTTAGAATGATTAGCAAATTTAAGCTTTCCCAGGATGCTCCATGTCAGCAGTGGCCCTTGTTGTACCATTTCTTAAAACATCAGCATTTCTCTTGTGTTCTGTTCTGAACTATCTTCTCCTACTGAACTACAGTCATTGATAGTCCAGGAAGTTACAAGATTGTAAGAGGAAAAAAACCCTCTAAGATATACCCTTTTCTGCTCACAAAACAAGTAATTGGGGAGGGGGGGAGAAGTCAAAAAAAAAGAAAAAAGGTGGAGCACTATGATCCCAAGTTCAAAGCTGGGTAACAGCAATAATCAGGGCAAGACTCCTGTGCATAATTCTTCTTCCTTCAAGCACTTCCTCAGCTTCAATACTATGGAAAGATGAACTTCACCTGCAAAAAATCCATGTAAGGGATCTTTGGGGATGGGTTTAAGATATTGTCCTCAATATCTCACAGCACTCAGCAGAAATATAAAACCTTGATCCCTGGGTCTCCACAGGGCTCTGCAGAACATACCCACCATATCCCCTGCTCTAGCTTGACAGAAATGAGAGGTTCTTTCTTCTCCTTCAATCAATTTTTCATCATTTCTAGCCCATCACTTCTCTGAAGTCTTTCATCTGACCCTGGCTATTTCTGCTTTCTTGTACTCTTCCCAGTCCCACCATGGTCCTCTTCTCAGGTGGGTCACATTGACTTGGACACAACAGAAGAAACCCTGAGAGGCCAGGAGCATCAACAAGATACTCTCTGAATTAACTGCAGGAGCTCAGCCTCCCAGCCCTCATCTCAGAATGCAAATCTCCATCTGCCAACAGCCAGACTGTCAGGAGAGGGGAGAAAGAATGGAGGAAAATTTCCACATCCTGGAGAAAGTTATCTGGACATCAAAGAACATCCCATTCACAAAACAGCGGCATCATTCTTGCCAGACTGGTGTGTCTGGTTAACCTTGTGCTCAGTCCTTATGATAACACAGTATTTGGACAGCAGACAGCTGGCACTGCTCAGCATCTTGCTCTTCAGTCTTTTATAACAACAGTTCCACTGATATTACGCTTAGCCTTTTCCCTGCTCTCAGTCCAGTGTTAAAATCTCTTCAACTACTTAGAGGAAGCAAACCAAATGTTGTTTTGTCAGTAATTTGCCCTGTAAGGGAGGGGGGAAATATACTGTTAACATACTGCAGACACAGCGTTCATCACGTGCGCAGCAGTGCACTGGTTAGACTGGAAACTCTATGAGGGTATTTCAAATGTTAACTTGACTGTCATCATGACTGGGAAACATCTGTCTCCTATTAACACTTTAGATTTTACAGTTGCTTTTAGTTCAGCAGAAGAGTCTTAATGGAGAAGACTGGTACTCTTTTAGAAATAACATCAATAATGAAAGAATCCTTGGACGCAGAGCAAAACCAGCAAACACATTGGCAACAGAACTCACTGCACTCAAAAGATGTAACAGGAAATGATAGTGACAGGCTTTTGGGTGGGAGGATTTTTGTGTGAAAGAAATTAACTCTGGTACTCAAATTCCTATTAAGAAAAATATTTCTTTTCGAACAGGTGATTGATTTCCTTAGATGTTAATTCAGACTTTTGGGGAATTTCATCTTACTTGGATCACTGGTAAATAAAACCAGAAACAAAAACAACAAAGAAAACCCCTTCTGCAGGCTATTTAGGCTTGGTACTGACTAACCAGTAATTAAATACAGCTCTTCACAGAAATCTTAATTATGGCTTCACTACACCACAGCTAAGAAGAGTCACACAACAAACTGAGAAGATTAGCCAATTCTAATTGTTGAAAAACATTTATTTTTATTTTTGTGCATAGTTTTTGTGTGCATAAGGCCACAAGTCACACCAGCGAATTATTAAAAAATAATCAAAGGCTTCAAGAATTTATATATCACAACTAGGCCAGTGTTACAAGGGAAGTATTAGTTTATTTTCTTTATATAAATTAAGCCTCTATGACTTGCATAAGAGCTCAAGAGTTTTTGACTTGGGAAAATAGTGATGTGTGCTAGAAATCAGTGTGTATTAGGTAGACCAGAAACAAGTTTCACTGAGTTACTCGCTCTGAGAATCCTGTTTTCTCAGCTGGCCACTGCCATGAATTAGCCATGCAGTCACATCTGCTGCACCTTCCATGGGAATTCAGGTCCAGAGGAATCTGAGTCAAGGACTTTAGTCCCACTTATTTTCTACAGATCTAGGATTCCTAATATCCTAGCTATATTCTGATAGAGGGACCTTGGGAAACAAAAAATACCCCACCCACCTTCAAAAACTAGACACACAAAAAAAAACCCCAAAACCAATCAACCAACCAACCAAAAAGAAAGAGGAAAAAACCCCAAACCAAAACAAAAAATATTCAGAGGCCGCAATTCAGCAGAATCTGGCTAGACAGGCTAGATTTTGAGCAGGTCATTAACTCTCAGAGTTCAGGATAACTGCATCACACATCTAAAAGCATCTAAAGACAAACACAGTCAGACTGTGTCTCATCAATTTAAGGGCCTCATTCATCTGCAAGAACAACTTGCAAGCCTAGCTCAAAGCCTCGGTGTACTTAGGCATTCATTATCCTACTGAAGCCAATGCAGGCTTCATTCCACTGAAAAATCAATGAGACATATGCTCTAGGACACAAATTCCTCAGGCCTAAAGCCAGTGGATGGCAGAAGCCTAGAGCCCTTATAGATCTGGCTTTCTACACAGCAGAGTCCCGAGCCTTCTGAAAGACAGTGAGACGTAGGCTCCCAACACTTATTTCTTCCACATTTATAGTTTAATATGTGCTTGGGTTTTTGATTTTTTTCTTTACTGCATCAGACTGCCAGCTTCCTTCCCATTTTTCACTCACAGTACCAGCTGCCCAGATACATATATGTAGTAGCCCCCTCAGCATTGCCATCCTTTCCCCTGCATGTGCAGCAGCAGATGGATCCAGACGTGTTTTGGGTTAACTCCATAACCATGTTTTTCTGGACTGCATGGATAAACATTTAAAGGCCCCTTCTGGTTATATAAAAGGAAGCTATTAAACGTTTACTCTTTCCTCTGTACTCAGAGCTGCAAAGCTGTATCACAGAACATACAAACGCAGATGCAACCAGGCAATTATCGTTCCTTTATCCCTTAAATAGATAGAAGATAAATTTGAAAGAAAATGAGGAACAGAATCCTTCTCCCTTTCCTTTTTTATCCTTTTATCTCCCAATGTAGGAAGTTTACTGAACCCTTGCCAACAATTCACTCAGGCTAATGAAGTGTATAAGTAATGGGATTAAATAATCTTAAACCATTACTACAGTGGCTAATGCAGATGTTTTCCCAAACTAAAGCAGATGAGTGGTGTAGAATGCGTGCTTGATTTAAAAAAGAAGAAAAGAAAGTATCAATCTGCAAGCAGATGAAGTCAATTCCAGCCTGAAGTCAATGAAATGTTTAATTCTAGTTACATAAAGTTGCTCCAATTATATTATGAATGCACCTTCCTAAAGTCTTCAGTGCTTTGCACGTGGTTAAACTTGCCACAAAATGAAACTTAAATTTTTTATGGCACAATCATTTTAGTGCAAACAAAAATAGAAATTATTTAAAAGGTACATATTTCACCAAAAGATCATTTAGCTTTTAAAATCAATTTAACAAGGCCCATCTATCACTGCCATTGTAAACAAGACACAAGCCTCCCTTTTTATATTCAATATTTCAGCAACAATCTCACTGTGAAGGCTCTGTAGAAATCGAGAGAACAATGAGATATTGGTGGTATTTTCAGAAATATTATCCTATCATTGCTCTAATTATAACTGGAATGACAGAAATGTAATGAAAAATATCAGTTTTTACTTTCAGAAGTGTAAATCCAATTCTGGAAGGGTCTTAGGTCCAATGTTTGTAAGAACTCAAAACTGGAAGTTTAAAGAAAGATCTGTCAGTGTTTTAAGAATGTTCCAGTGCTTTTCTTACTTTAAGTTACAAGGATAATCCTTAGAAACTGGATGCTAAGGTCAGACCAAGGTAAAGCCTCAGGCACATTATGGGATGTTTATTTAATTTGCACCTGTGCAACTGGTTCCAGCTACTTGTTATGGGAGTCTGTCAAAATGTGCAGCTCCTCAAGAGCAACTGTTAATTGTTTGCTTTAAGACCTTGTTGGAGGCATGAAATGAAATTTTAGGGTTAATGTAAGCTTCAAAAGATATCTAATCCAAAGACCCTTAGTTCAGTAGAAAGTCTTCCATCAAGCAAGGCAAAAGTCTTGATTTTAGAAGTTTTAGTGCTTTCTTGCGTCCCACCTCCTTAATCTTATTGGGCACCACAGTCCAGTCTGTAACCATTTTGGTATCAGGTTTCTCAACACAGAAAGCTGAGAACCACACTACTGCTAAAAAATGACTGCATAGTCTGCTCCTTACAGAGATGAAACAATCACAAAACCCAGCTCTTTCTCCTGCTGTGTCCACTTCATTTCAGAGGGAAGTCAGACCAGAAAATGTAACTCACCCAGTAAGCTGAAAAGACCAGAGTTCTTCTGAAGACCATAAAAAAACTTGTTGCTCATGGTACTGCCACAGGGTTGTCAGATTTTAACTGTAAGGTAACTCCACAGCAATGAAAGAAATAAATGTTTCCCATGTCTGTGCATTAAAATCAGGGCATGAAGAGGAATGGGTACTCACAATGTAGCAGGGTTCACAGTAGGCTTTCTTCTCCACGGCGTAGAAAGGCTGTCCCCTCAGCTTGCTCTTGCACGTTATGCAGGTGAAACACTTCACGTGGAAGACTTGGTCCATGGCTGTGCAACCGGTGCCTTCTCCAACAACATTCTCCCCACAGCGGGCACAGCGTCCTGTCACCAGAGGGAAAGGACAAGAGTCAAAGCAAGCCCATCGTCCCAGCTGCACAGAGGGTCCCTCCATTTGCCCATGGCTGGTGAGGGGGATGTAGCAGCTCAGTCCACAGAAAAACAGTTTGTGCTACTGCTGGCAAAGATCCAGTGCCACTGGAAGGCACTCTGGTGCTGGTCCACATGAAAAGATCTATAAATGATTGAAATTGGCTCCCAAGACAGCACTCATGTCAGTCATGCTGCTGCAAGCCAGCAATCATTGTAAGGATCTTGAGCTTCAGCTCAGCTATCACCTAACTCAGCTATATGGTCATCCTCAGCTCCTCAGTTAGATGGGATAAACCAAGGCCTTAAGCCTTGCTTCTATATGAAAGGATTTTGTCATAGGAGGCCTCATAAAGCTATCTGGTGGCAGCTCAATTTAAAGAGAAGTTTTTGCTTGTATCGCTTAAACCTCTTTCAATGAAGCAAATTACTTTTTTTTTTCCTGTTCAAAGATTAATACAGATTAAGATATTCTGTCTATTTTAAAGCACAGAAACTATTCCTAAAGAAACTGATGTGTTGGTATTTTATTCTTCCCATCCTTCAAGAAAGGTGTATCAGGAACTGCTGGTAAAGACTCTAAGTACAGACATGTCTTAAGAGCTCTGTCTTTTTCTGAAAAAGGTCTTTAATGTCAGACACAAATGCATAATAAAAAGCCTGTAGACATGCACATACAAAAGGCTTGTTGCCTTTTTCAGATTGTTGCTAAAGATGCTATGTGGCAGATAGTTTTAAAGTGAAGACAAGATTTCCTTAGCTCATGGGAAAGACATTTACCTAGGGAAGACTGTGATGCAGAGATGATGGAAGAGGTGGGTAGAAGGCACACCTTAGCCATTTTTCTCTGCCATTTGGGCTCTAGAAAATGGAGATAGCCCATTAAGTTCTGATGTACTTACATAACAATTGATGTAGAAAATGAAAGGCCTTAAGGACGAGGTCAGCCACATTACACAGGAGAACCCCACCAAAGGTAATAGAGTAACTATGATCTGGGGCATTGCCCCACTCAAAATTGTACTCCTCAGTTTAAGAATAACTGTGGTGATACCAGCCTTGGGACCCTGCACTTCTTGAAGACTTCATGGGTGGAGTGGTGTGGTCAGTGAGGGTGGGAAGGGAAGAAAGAGCTGAGGTACAAGCTGAGTTCAGTATAGAATTATTAATAAAGACATATAGAAATAATATGTACCTGATAATAATTACATAATCCAGTGATGATATAATGCTCTCTCACACCATGGTCTGTTTATTGCATGGTCTTTTAATGCAAATACTGCACAACTTATACAAGTTAGACTTGTCTTGTCATCTCAAGAGCAAGACTGCAGCCCTTCACTGTACACTGACAATGTCCCCACAGTCATGACTTCTTTCCTGCCTGTCCCACACTCCAACAAGCTACATTCAGGGAACAAAGCATGTAAGCTACTTTTGGATCCCTCAGGATGTGGCAGGATGATATATATACACATTTGAGATATATTCGGAAAGCTTGGAAAAGAATCCAGATCATTATGATTTGCTACAATGGCATAGCTGTAGCTGCCTTTATACAGGACAGACAGTTCCTGGCTCAAACAGCTCCCAGAATGATCAGTGTGGAGGGATAACTCACCAGAAGAATCTAGACAAGTCTGGAATTCCCCCAAATGGAATTAATAATGATGTATTTAAACTTAACTTTCCTTAGCATTTGTTATTAGGGTTTTGATTGTCACTGTTGTGCTTTAATCACTCCACTGTAACACTTCTAAAGAGGACTCCTTTCTTATGAACAGAAAAGGAATTCAGGTTTCCCAGCATGGTAGTAAGGCTACAGAGCATGGGGGAAGAATGGAAAAAACCATGAGGGCTAGGAAGAAAAAAATCCAAACCCACTGGAGAGAACCACAGGAGCGAGCACTGCACTGAGAAGGAGGCAGAAGACACCTCCTGGGTACCACAGGAGAGCCCTGCTGAGCCCTGCGTGTGGACAGCACAGAGCTGCTCCAGGGCCTTCTCCAAACATCTCGTGTAGCTGGGCTGTAACACGAAGAGACGTCTGGGGAGCAGTTAATATCTCTATATATAAAACATGAAATTGAAAGCCATTAGTGTATTACTTTACACAGTGTTTTTCCAGAGGGAATATTCCGCTGAAGAATTTATTTTCCCTAGTGTGCCATTCTGTGATCATCCGGTATTATTTTTATGAGGCATTTGGACATGGAATAATGTAGTGTCTATGCAAACACTTCTCAGCTTTCTTTGTTAACATCTGAGCAGAACATGTGGGAATCCTTTCAACTCCTCCTTCTCTTCTAACACACATAATTTAGCCAGCTCTTGTGTGCTTCAGCATTTATCTTCCTCTTTGACCAAGGCATCTCTCCATATGCTGAAGAAGCTGTCTACATGGAGACCATACTTCTGGCTGCACTTGTATCAGGAGACCTGGGTCTGTTTCCTAATTCAAATACATACTCCTGTAATCTGTTGCTCAGTGCCTTTGTACTTCTGTGCCCTCTTTGAGCAAAGGGAATAAAGACATCTTCTCTGCCTCCCAAAGGTGGCCTGAGGCTACATTCCCCCATGGCTCTGAGGTATTCCCCAACTACACTGCTGGTGCTCACGTACAAACCAAAGAGTAGCACAACCTGAGTCTTGGCCAACTTCTCCCCTTTAAGTTCATTTCCTGAGGCTTTCCTTCCTCTTTCTGGGTTTTTCCACAGAAGATTCCCACTGTGGCAGTGACAGACTTAACCTGTCTACATTTATAAGAAGTTCAGTTTCTGCTATTGAGTACACAGACAGAAATACTCCTATAAACTCTCACACTGGACAGCTTAAAGAAAGCTTCCTTTTTTATAAGTTTATATGCAAATTATAACACTGTGGCCTTGAGCAAACCACGTTCTTCATGAGACATGGCCACTCCAGTGAGAATCAAAACACATGTTCTGTGCCTAGCAACTGTCCCAACTGTCTCACTCACCCAAAAGGTAAAAGCAAATAAGCCAATATATTCAAATTTGGGAGCTTACAGTTGGGTGGCTGGATCCACTTAAAGGCACATGGGCAAATACACACCGATCTGGTTTGCAGCAATGTGATCACTGGAAACTGCACCTTGTGCAAACCTTGGTGCAATCTGGGAACTCACAAGGCTTCTGCAAAAACCTGTCTCTTCTCCCAACTCCTGCAACTCGCTCAAATGTAGTTGAAAATGGCTATTAGTTTCAAGTGTTGGTGAAGGAGGAACTGACAAGCAGACCGGCACATGCACACAGGCAGGGCGATTGCACAAGCCTCATTTCCTTAGAAAACCAGAAAAACCCCACTAAAAACAATGTATCTACCATTATGTCTGATAAAAACAAAACAAAGGTCTGCTTTTCCTCTGTGCCAGTTACCAACGGCGAAGGTATTTGTGGTTGGGCTCACCACAATTAAGTGCCCGCACATGTTCCCCATTTTAATATTTTCACACTGTCTCAAATAACCCAGTCCGTTGTGTGCAGAATACCCATGAGTGAACGCAGAACAAGTTGCACTGCTTATTGGGAAAGAAGTAGCAAAGGCAAAGTTTGCAAGACTCAAGAACAAACAGATTGCACAAAAAAGATTACACAAATAATCTAAGAGAAAAATAGCAGGCAGCGTATTACAGTAGAAACACAGAACAACGTGACCCATTTGCTTTCCACAAACAGCATTTAAAAGGTAGCTTAAAGACAAAGAACAAAATTAGCACTAAACTGCATGAAGATGAAAAACTATGTCATTTCAACATTCTTCTTTTGCCCCTTCAGCCCTTTTTAGATCCTTTTTCAAGATCATTTCAGCAAAACTAGAAGGCAATAGTTGGCAGCAAGCCTGGGAGACCGGAGTCCTCTATTTTTGCATGGAAGAGGTTCGTAACCTTGGCCGTGCTGTGACCTTCCTTCAGCCCAGCCTGGCTGCCACATGGTGGTCTTACCTTGGGGGGATGTACAGAAGTGCCTGCAGAGGCTTCCCTGCTGAAAATGCCATCGTTAGTGAGTGGATTACACAGAAACACTTCAGCAGCTGAAAGGACACATCAGCTACTACACTCTATTCTGAAACTTCCCCAGTTACTCTCTTCTGTTGTGTAAAATTTTGAAATATTGTGAATCTGAAGGAAGAGGGGGAAGGGAGGAGAGGAGCTCATATTGCACAGGATGCCATGTTCTAACTTCTTGTTATCTCATTACTCCTATTACATGGTTTTCACTTATAACACCACAGATCCTGGCTGCTCAGATTATAGAACAGATCCATTCTGCTGGGTATTGGGACAACACAGAATTCAAAGAAGGGCACAACTGCAGGAGTTTACAACCTAATCTAATACAAGCAATAACAACCAGGTAGTGATAGGAATAGAAGGAAACAATCAGATAAAACCAGTCAGCAAGGGAAGCTGTGGTCTTAGCACTCTAAATGTTTTACTGTTGACAAGGAGTCTGTAGACAGCAGAGCAAAGGAAAAGGTTAAGGAAGAATTTGAAAGAGGACCCGGAGGGAGTTTAAAGGAAGTTTAATGGAATGCTTCTGAAGAAAGGACAAAGACAACACAAAAGAGAATGTAAGTGCTTGAAGGTTGAACATAGACAACTTCAGATGGGAAGGATGAGTTGATATGTCACTAGAGAATACTAGAGGAAGAAGGGTGGAAATAGGTCATTACAGGTCACACAGGTAAAGACATGAAGCTTCTGTTTGATATGAGGCAGAAATGAAACCAGAGGAAAGATGTTTAGGAGTTTGATTTGATTATCCTTGTGGGCCCCTTCCGACTTAGGATATTCTATGACTCTATGGCTAAGAGGCAAAAATTATCTGGCCTAAGTTAGAAGCCAGAGAGTTATTTCTGCAGCTAGTTGAACATGAATAGAGAGAAACTGAATTTTTTAAAAAGGATGTTGCAGAGATTCAAGGTCACTGGAG